GCTGAGGTCGGGCGGCGGGCGCGGGCTTTGTGAGCCTAGGACTCGGCGGGCTGTGGCCGGCCGCCTTCTCCCGACTGCGTGGAGCGCGTCAGAACCGGGGGCTGCGTGGACATGTCTCCTCCCCGGCGGGTCCGGCACGGGGTCCCGAGGCCAGGGCCCCTCCAGGGGCGAGCGCGGGTCCTCTCCAATCACTGAGGTGGGACGGGGACGCCCCGGGGCAGACCCAGCATTGGTGGCGCGCGGGTCCGAACCCAGAGGCGGCTGTCGGCGAGAAGAGGAAGAAGGCCGGCTCCGAGGTGGCGGGTAGGGGCCTCAGGAACGCTGGAGGGTGAGGGCGGGAGCCCGGAGCGGGCGCTCCGACGCCCCCCCTCGGAGAGGAGAGCCTGCTGTTCCGTCTGCTACTGCTGCCGCCGCTGCCGCCGCTAGCCCTTCCCAGGGCCGAGAAGAAAACTCCGGCTCAGTGGGTGCAAATCAGCCGACCTGGTATCCTAACTCCAGCGGCACAGAAAGCCTCCGCAAAGGGTCCTCGCCGTTCCCAGCTGCAGCGCCGTGTCTCCAGCGAGGAGCGCTCAGCGCCGCCACAGTCGCCTCGGAGCGCGCAGGCAGAAGGCTGGAGGAAGACGCAGCCGGAGACCCGGGAGCTCTGTGGCTTCCTTCCTTCCCCTCGGCTCCGCTCAGCTCTCCGCTCTGCGCCACGACAAACCCCCTAAACACACACCCAACACACACACACACACACACACACGCCAAAAAGTGCCCCGGACCTGCGGATACCACACACAGACAGGCAAGGGGGGACAAGCACGAGGTCTGAACTGCCGCGAGAGCAGTTCCAAATAGGGACTGAAAAGTAACAAAATAATGTGGCAGCTTCTACCCGCGCTGGCCAATGGGAGCGCAGGGCCCCCACGTGGGGCCACCGGACTCGGCCTGCGACTGGGCGCCGCCGGGCCCTACGTCACAATGCCCTCTTGTGTCTAAAACTATGCATGAAAAGTAGCAATCAGGCCCTACCCGCTGGTGACTTTAGCTTGGGAGTGAAAAACAGCGCTCCTCAGATCAGGAATTAACCGAAAGACACATAATAAATAGATATATATTATAGCCCTGGACTGCTAGAGTTTTTTTCCACCTCTCCCCGCCCCCCTCGGTCTACTAACAATTATTTGGCGGAAGGAGGAAAGAGAGAACAGGAATAACAACAAAAGGAAAAAAGACAAGCTGTACAGTCCTGAAAACCTGTGGCTGGTGTAATGTATCAGTTTATTCTGCAGTGACGGCAAACGATTCCTCCCTTTAATCTCATTAGGTCTGCAGAGCAGCCCAATTAGATACTATAAAACAAACAAAATCACTTTGTCACGTTAATGTTTTCACTTCACAAGACTTAGGACGGAGAAAATGGTGGCTCCCAAAGTTGCCTCCCAACTTGGCTCGGAACTGAGGGTGTCCCTTTCTTTACTCCTCTTGCCCCCCTCCCCCCATGGCCCCCAGCTAGTCTTTGTTCTTTCATCCTTCTATTCGGAAAGCCAAATAACGACTTCTTTGATGTGCAGCGGTTGCCTGCAAAGAGAAGTCTGGGGAACTCTTGCTAAGCGGGCAGCTCCGAAGGAAGGGCCTGCTGCCCGCGGACAAACAGCTCAATTCGCGCTGCCCCCACCGGGGGTTCTCTCCCGCTGGGAACAGCGGAGCCCGGGCCGCAGTTCCTCACCGCGCGCCGAGGCAGGAGTGTAGGGTAGGGGATAAGGTGGTGACCATGCCCCGGCCCGGCCCGGGAGCTCCGAGTTCCGACCCGGTTTCCTCGGCCTGTCCCGCCAGTGTCCCAGCGTCGGGCCTGTGGTGTGGAGGGGCGCGTGCCCC